AAAAAAAAAAAAAAGGTAGGTACTAATATTAGGGGGTTACTTTGAGGATTGAGATGATACTTGTAAAGCCAGCAGTGTAACAGTGCATCCACAACACAGGGGACGCTCAGTGTCAGTTAGTGTCCTTATTAGTAAATAATAAACAGACATACACGTTCACAAATAATGTACTTAACATTTTTGGGGGTATGTGTGAGGTATCTGAAGATACTTTGTGGATTACAAGTTAAGGATTCCTGTTTTGCCAGTGCAATGGCTCACACAATCCTAGCACTCTGGGAGGCTGGAGGAGGTGGATCCCTTGAGCTCACAAGTTCCAGAACAGCCTGAGCAAAAGTGAGACTCCGTCTCTAAAAATAGCCAGGTGTTCGGTGGGGCACCTGTAGTCCCAGCTACTTGTGAGGCCGAGGCAAGAGGATTGTTTGAGCCCAGAGCCTGGTAGTTTGACGTTGCTGTGAGCTGTGACACCACAGCAGTCTACCAAGTACAACAAAACGAGACTGTGTCTCAAAAAAATAAATAAATAAATAAAAGAATACCTGTTTTGGAGGAAATACCAAGAGTTTAAAAGAAGAGACTATTTTGCTAGGAAACATAGGAAATAGTGTCATGTAGGGGAAAACACATGGATATTGGTTGGAATTTTGGCTTACTTGGTTACCCTTCAATTTCCTTATCTATAAAATGAGACAGTAATGCCTACCTAAGATTAAATGATATGGTGTAAAATGTGAGGGTCATGGTAAATGTTTATTTTCTCCTCCTTTTCCTGGGATATGTGCAGAGAGGTCTTTCTGCTTAGTTTTTATATCTTGCTCTCTCTCTATTATTTTTTTTTTTGTAGTATTTGGCTGGGGCTGGGTTTGAACCCATCACTTCCAGCATATGGGGCCAATGCCCTACTCTTTAGCCACAGGTGCTGCCCCTTGCTCTCATTTTGTACATTTTTTTTTTTTTTTTTTAGCTGAACTCAATATTGAAACCGTTTTTTGTTTTTGGGGTTTTTTTTGCAGTTTTTGGCCGGGGCTGGGTTTGAACCTACCACCTCCGTCATAGGGGGCTGGTGCCCTACTCCTTTGAGCTACAGGCACCGCCCATTGAAATCATTTTTGGTTGTTGAATATTGAAATCTTGTTTTTTTCTTTTGAGACAGAGTCTCACTATGTCACCCTTGGTAGAGTGCTATGACGTCAAAGCTCACCGCAACCTCAAACTCTTGGGCTTAAGTGATTCTCTTGGCTCAGCCTCCCAAGTATCGGGGACTATAGGCAACTGCCACTACTCCCAGCTATTTTTTTGTTGTAGTTGTTGTTTAGCAGGCCTGGACTGGATTCAAACCCACCAGCCCTAGCGTATGTGTCCGGCGCCCTAACCACTGAACTTCGGGTGCCAGTCAGTATTGAAAAAAAAATTTTTTTTTTGAGACAGAGTTTCACTTTATCACCCTTGGTAGAGTGCTGTACCATCACAGCTCACAGCATCCTCTAACTCCTGGGCCTAGGCAGTTTTCTTGCCTCAGTCTCCCGAGTAGCTGGAACTACAGGCGCTCACCACAACGCCTGGCTATTTTTTGTTGCAGTTTGGCTGGGGCCGGGTTCAAACATGCTATCCTGGATATATGGGGCCAGCACCCTACCCACTGAGCCACAGGCGCTGCCCCCAATATTGAAATTTTTAATACCACTTTAGGAGGAACCTGCAGAGCCCCCTCCCCCCCTCCCGCCAGTGTTCACTTCAGTGAAGTGAGGTAATTAAGGAAGGGCAGCAGAGTACTCCTGTGCTCAAGGCTGTTGAAACTGCTGTAGTCTCTGATTGGAATTCCCTTTCCCCAGATAGTCACCTAGCTTAGTCACAGTTACTCAAATGTCACCTCTGCAGAGAGGCTTTCCCTGATCACCTGACTAGTTCTCTGTCCTCTTACTTTATGCTGGTTTTCTTATAGCACTGACTATTTCATTTAATATGATATTACATTACAAATTATATGTTAACTTGTTTATTTTCAGTCCCTCCCAGCCCTGAAAATGTAAACTCCTTGAAGGCAGGGATTTGTTTTGTTTAATGCTCCAGTTCTCTACCTAGAACGATGCCTGGTACTAGGCAGTCATTTGTTGAATGAATGAATGAAATGAAAGTTTGAGTTCATCCTTTCACTCACTTTCTACTGGTGCCTCCTCAGGGCTTATCACCTGATTTTTATGGCCACCAGTTTTTGACATGCCCTGCTCCTCTCTCCACTTGGGGAGTCTACCCCTAAAGTAGCCCTCTTCCCACTCAGCCTAACCTGCTAATTACTGTGTTCCACTTAAGCCTTCCAAGACCTAAATGGTTCATGTGCCAGAGCAACTAGATCTCTGCTTTTAGTCTGTGCAAACAGAAACAGCCCATTTGTCCAGTACACTTTTCCTGAGTCCAAACTGTACGCAAGGTGTTATGGGACTGCAGAGATGAAGTCCTAGTCCCTAACTTTAAGAAACACATAGTCTGTGAAGGTGACAGAAATATACACACTCAGGGATATAATACTGCTGGGACTGAGTCCTGGTTTCACCACTTACTTGCTGTGTGACTTTGGGCATGTATTTGCACTGTCCTAAGCATCAACTTCATAATCTTTCTTTTTAAACAAATAAAGAAGGTAAGAATAGTACCTATATTATGGAGTTCTATAGTACCTATATTATGTACCTATATTATGGATTAATAGAGAAAATGGATTATGGAGTTCTATAGTACCTATATTATGGAGTTCTGAGGATTGAGAAAATGCTTATGAAGCTAGCAGTGTTAACAGGGTACCTAGAACACAGTTGACACACTATGTCAGCTGGTGTCCTTGTTAGTAAAGCTGTTAGTGTGCATGTGTCTGAATGGTGGTTGGCTCTTCAATCCCATGGATAATAAGGCTGCAACCCCAGGGTCTACTCTCCAGAGCAGGCGTCTTCAAACTACAACCCGCCGGCCACACGCGGCCGGCCTAGGACATTTATCCAACCCTCTGGGTGTTTTTGCTACTGCTACCTGTCCTGCTTAGCAGCCAACTCATCCTGGGGTTTCCAGTCCAACCTTCCAACGATCTGAGGGACAGTGAACTGGCCCCCTGTTTAAAAAGTTTGCTTAGGCAAATTACTACTTAAGTAGCAGCACTTAAGCCTTCCATGACAGGAGGCTGGAGGGTAAGAGAGAGGGCTGCATCAACTTTTGTTACTGAGCCTTCTTTCCTAGCTGCTAGGCAATGGTTCTCAACCTTCCTAAT